CTCAGCGGCAAAGCGCCTGCCTGGCAAGCGCAAGGTCGTGAGTTCAGTTCCTGGTACCGGAGAAAAACCAAAAAAAAAAAAAAAAAAAAAACAAAGATCTGAATGCCAAACAAATCATCTCACGTCCTTTTCCCAAAAAACTTTTTTAAAAACACTTTTGTACAAGCTTACAAGTAATCAAAAGAGCACAAATTAAGGTGACCCCTTTTAAAGTATTAAAGTAACAAAGATCAAAAGAGAATGGAAAAATTGCTCAAACATAGCACAATTTTTCTCATTAATCTGTTACTCTGTCATTTACACTGACGAGTCCGCGACACTGCTGCATGGAGAGCCAGCCATGTGTAAGACGGGTTGATAGCAATTAAAGGAAACTTTTCATTAGTAAACATGTTGCAGCTGCTTGATACTTGATATTTTGCTGTAAAATTTCCAAATAACAATAGCAGATTAAATTCGATTTCACCAATATACCTCTTATCACATTCCTTAGAATATCATAATTTATTAAAAACATAAATCACCAAGCTAAGAACCTAACACAGACGATCTCACTTAATCCTCAAATGAGCCTCACACAGGAATGAGCACGCACACTGATAGCCCGGGAAACCAAAGCTCCGCTTTGTGCGCGCAGAGGCTGGGGACTCACAGTTAGGCTTCAGAGCCTAAACCCAGTACGAGTGTGTGTCACCACGGCCTTCAGTATCTCAACAGCTTAACTCTGTACAGGAAAATGTTTCAAGAAGTTTCGACAATCAGCTTGAACATTACCTTGAAATGTAACCTAACAGGCTAGGAAAGATTTGAGGACATTAATAACTAAAATTTTTCTACTTTGCTTTGAAGAAAAGTCATTTGGCTAAGGACGACGCTCCACTTCCTGTGAATTCCCAAGAACAAAGAACTAACTGTATTTGCTCTCTTGGGGACTAGTACGGCCCATTATTCATAATGAAAATTTTAAAATTTTTAAAAAGCAAATTTAGACCTTTAAGATTGAATTTTAGGGCAATCCACTTTCTGAGCTTTGCTTTAAAATTCAAAAATTGAAAATTCAGATTGTTTAAACTTCTGAGATCATACAAAAAAATATTTTCTAATAAACGTAATTACTTACAGTTCAAAAGTGGCTGCATACAAGAAATATCAGACAAAAGAAAACTGCTGTTTGGTGGTAGCAAGTATTTCTGTCCCATTAAAGTAATCATTTTTGAAAAGCTAGAGTTGTTTTCAACGAATCGTGAAAATAAATCCTGCTCTGCAACAGACGAATCCTCTTCCACCAACTGCAATGTCTGAAGTTCCATTCCATTCAGAGAAGGCAAATGCTTTGCCATTTCACATAATCCTGACAAACTGCAGGTATCCAGTGGTAAAGTAATGAGATTGCTACACTTGTCCCGCTTTTCCAAAAGTTGATAAAGAAAGCCACTTCTGAGGCCTTCTTGGATTAATTGTGAGGAGCCATCCAAAATCAACTCTCTGATCTGCAAAAGAATTTAAAGAACATTAAAAAGACAGTGGCGTTACAATAATTTTCTAGTATGAATAATAGTAATAAATATCCTTGCTTAGAATTTTCAGTGCATCTATCTACTCAGGACCTCCTCAAAAGTGGAACTACCAGGCCAATGTGTTTATAATAATTTTCTAAATAAGAAAGTTTCTACTGTGCTCCGAATATCTAAATTTATACATTACAACCAACATGCTTAATGTTTACACAAAAATAATTTTATACTACAATGAAAAGAATGAACAAGTATATCTTTGAACTGCTGTTTCCTAACTGCAGAATGAAACAAACCCCCACAATAACCTCAAATAAATATATACGGCCTCTGAAAGGTGCAGGATGGCCGAGCATGGTGGCATTTAGGAGGCTCAGGTGGAAGGACATGCGTTTGAGGCCAGCATGGGCTTCACAGTGAGAGCCTGCCTCAAAAACACCAACACGTAAGTAAATAAAAATAAATCATATAAAAATAAATTTGATAATCTGCATGTTTCTAGAAGAAAATGGAATGTCTAACCTATTAAGAGAAATTTAAACCACACGATTTATATAAGTACCACACACTAACCAACTGCGCCACTGGAGCTTCTAAACCATAACATTTAATCTTAAGATCTTTCTAGCGATCTAAATTTTTTTTTTTTTTTTTTTTTTGGTACTGGTGAATTGAACTCAGGACCTTACACTTGCCAGGCAAGCACTTGCGCAGCTGAGCTATGTCCCCGGCCCTAGTGATTTAATTTTTAAAGAAACATAACTTTGATTTTGTATAATACAGCTTGAGATATCCACAAAAGAAACTCTTTGTAAGTGAACATACAGTTTTGCAAAAACACAACTACAATAATTACAAAAATAAAAGCTGAGTTCTACTTCTAGACAACACAGAAGAGCAAGGATCAGATTTACCCTTTCACCTGAAATTACTTTTTTAAAACATGTAGGAAATGTGTTTAAGAAAAAAAAGGCTTTCAGACTCTGAATATCACACAGTGCAGTACATCGGCTCCTCAGTGAGAGAACCAAAGGAGAACACAGGGAAGGAGACCCATGCAGAACCCAGCGGGCTCGGAGTTGAAATGGAGCTAGGAGTGAGGCAAGGCGAAGGCCACTAAGTCTGCAGGGCTGGGTGCCAGAGGGAGGGCAGCACAGAGAGTTTCTGCGGGCTGGACAGGTCTGTTCGGGTCTCCAGCTGGGCAGTGATCCACACGTGCAGGCTATGAAACCACCCAGTCAGGGAAAGAGCCCGATAAAAGAGTAAGTAGAAGCAACCACCAGAGTTTGGGGCAGCGGTGGTTAGGGACCCACTTCCAAGAATGGAACACCTCACAAATTCACAGGGCAGTGCCTCAGTGCTAGGGAAAAACACAGCTATAGACTCAAGTCTGCTCTGGTCCTACCAAGTAAGAGTGCGGACAGTTTCAAAAGCATCCATAAGTTTTAAAGTAACTTTAAGAACAAAGCTCAAGAATATTTATAGGAACATGAAAATTCCCAGTACCCAAAAGGCTAAAATTGAAATTTCTTATAAAAAACTTAACCAGAAATATAAAGAAGCAGGAAACACAACAAATTATAAATAGAAAAATGACTCAATAGAAACACAGAGTAATGAATGACACAGATGACACAACTAGTAGAAACCAGTAGACAGGTGTACTTGACCCTCACTTTAAAAATTAGGATAAAATATAGAAATTTTATAGGATAAAATATAGAAAAAGACACTAAGATGTTTTTATACCATTTTTATATGATCAAAAATGGGGGAGCTGGGGACACAGCTGAGTGGTACAGCACTTGCCTAGCATACGTGAAACAGTGAGTTAAATCCCTAGCTCAGGAAAGGGGGAGAAAAGAAACTACACTGCATGAAGTGAAAAATACACTGACTCAGATTAACAGCAGGTTAGACACTGAAGAACAAAAGATTTATGCCATTAAAGATATTGAAATATGTCAAAAATGAAGGTAACAAAAAAGTATTTCAGAAGACAATGACCAAAAATTTCCAAATCTGCTGAAAACTGTGAATTCACAAATCCAACAAAGTCAGCAAGGAGACCTGGATGGGAGAGGAGGAAACTATTAAGAAACATAATTATCAACTGCTAAAAATCAGTCATAAGAAAGTGTTTAAAGCAGCCAGACTAGGTCCAACTAAGATAAATAATAACAATAACTTTCAAGATATTAGTAAATAAAAGACGATGACCCTATGAGACGGAAAGAAATGACAGATGACCCCACAACTGCCCCCAGTTAACTGCCTGAACAAAATTTCCAGGCCACAGGAAGGAGAAATCGAGGCAGAGCTTAGAAGAATCAGAGTTGAAGAGACAAAGCTAAGGGGACAGTAAAGGACTCCCAGGACAGAGCGCTAGAGAGGAAAGAGCGCCACAGAAAACACTGCAGATCCGCAGGTAATCCTCTGGAGAAAGTCACCTTAAAGGAATCCTACCACCGCCATCCTAGGCTGACCAGAGACCACTCTCACCCTCACCCCCACCCCAGCAAAACTGCGCCCAGGGACTCAGATCATTAGCAGCCGTGCGACTGACAGCAACCGGTTCAAGCCTGTGCTTCCCCCAGCCCTCCCCTTGGACAAACATTACCACTTGTGCCCTTGTGAGGCTACCCTTGCTCTTGGCAGGGGCCACAACCCCCTTTCAGTGAATTCCTCCCCCGCCTTGACCCTGCAAAAGACCCCACAGCCTATACACGAGGACCTGGTCTGGTCTCAGCGCCAGAGGGGTCCCTCCCAGGTTTGTTCTGAAACAACCCGGTCCTGTTGAGCTCACGTCTTCACCTCTTGTCCTCCTTTTTCCCTCACCCAGTGTGAAGGAACTGTCAGAGGCTGGGAAAGGGGCACTTAATAGGATTAGAAAGACCAGTGCCCGATGCTCCCACAGGACCAAGAATAGTGCTGTTTTCACTTCTCAGATTCACAGGGCAACCGGGAGACAACACACCATGGTCTCTGTCTGAGCAGAGGCACTGACAGCTTTTGTTCCAGAAGAAATCTCCAGAGTTATCTGCATAGCATGGGAGATAGAGCGGTGCCTCTCGCAAAGGCAGAGGGCACATCTATATGCTGCCCCAGGTAATAAAGTCCCCCTAGAGTGAAAGGTTGGATGGGTTTGCTTGCAATCCCCCAGAGCTAAGGTTCTTTAAGCCCGGACGTCTTAGCTGTGAATCACAGAACTGCTGCGTGTACAGCAAACCAAACGCATGCACAGCGCTTGACTCCACTCCCCGGCACCGGCTCTATGGGACATGGGGGGCGAGGCGAACCTGGGAACTTCAAGGCGCATGCTTCCCGCTGTGCCTGGAGCAATGAAGTGCTTTGTCCTGACCTAAGAGCTTCAGATCTTCTGCCACCATCCATGAAACCAGGAGGCTGACTTATGAGCTTCCAAGTAGGATAAAGTAGGACTCTCCCCAGTCTCGACAGGGGTACTGGGTACTGGGTAGTCAAATGGATCTCATTTCAGCAGTGGAGAAATACTAGCCATAAACATCCTAAACCCTTCCGAAAAATCTACCCAGCAGTCAGCAGACCAATTAATACAAAAATCTTCAAAAACAAACACACACTCAGATCAACTTTATATGACGCTCACAGAACACTGCATCCACCAACTGAACATGGCAGTTCCTGAGAAAATTTGAAATTACCACTATCCCCCTCTCTATAGTCACAACTTGGCAGTGTCCATCAAATACCATCAAAATTTGGTTTACTTAGCTCAGAACGTTCACACTTCTGACTCAGCAATTCAAATACTTGAAATTTATCCCACAGACCCAGTCACGCGTGTGGAACACGGCATGTGCATACTAAACATCAGCAATCAAAGACAAAGTAAAGAAAAGTATGAGCCAGGAGCTATAAAGTAACTTGTAACATGTGTTAAGTAAAGGGAAAGAACAATGCGAAAGTGCATGAGATATGCTACCATTTTTGTTAAAGAGGAAAAATACGTCAGTATATTACATGCTGTCTTTTACATATGTATGACAGCACTGGACACACATACTGGAAGACGACTTTTCTTCCAGAAAACAGTAAGGTAAGGCAAGCCAGGCACGGTGGCACACGTCTGTAGTTCCAGCATTTGGCATGCTGAGGCTGGGGAATCGCTACAAGTTCGAGGCCAGCCTAGGTTCTAGGCTACACAGTGAGTTCAAGGCCAGTCTGAACTACACAGTGAGACCCTGTCTCAAAAAACTGAAAAAAAGAAAAAGAAAAAAACTAATACGGCAAGTTCTCCTCCAGGCTCTTTCTTAATATGTTTCTTGATGTTACCTATACATCTTAGCTATCAATAGTCCTCATCCTGAAAGGGGATCAGGGAGAGAAGGAAGAGAGGAGAATAGGCAAGGGTAATGGGGACAGAGACACTCAAAGTCCTGTGTGCAAGTATAAAAGTGCCACAATAAAACCCATTACTCTGTATGATTAATACGCACTAATAAAACATCTTCATACCAATCCTTTTGGTAGTTAATTCCTAAAACTACATTACAGTTATATATGATGCAGTAATTCCACTTCTGAGTACAAACCCACAAGAACTAATAACAGGGTACCGGGGGTTGAACTCATGACCTTGCGCTTGCCAAGCAGGCGCTTATGCCACTGAGCTACATCCCCAGCCCAATAACAGGGTCTTATCGTCTGGTTTCTCTTCAGATGTCTAAATCTTTTGCCTTTTGCTGAAAACAAGAGTCTCTCAGGGCTGGGGTGTAGCTCAGTGAAAGGGCATTTGCCTCGTGTACATAAGACCCTGGGTTCAACCCCAGCACCACAAAAATACAAAAAAGGGTACTGCACACCTGTGCACACAGCAGCACCGCTCACAGTAACCGCAGGTGGAAACAACCCATCATGTCAGAGAAAAGTAAACGGATCGCCCAAATGTCTTACTTACATAAAATGAAATCTTCTTCAGCCTTTAAAAGGAAAATTTCTGATACATGCCACAACATGAGTGAAGCCTGAGACATTATGCTAAAGCAAGTAAGCCATAAAGATTATATGACTCCACATACAGGAGATACTGTGCAGAGAGTTACTGCTTTACGGGAACAGAAGGATGGACAGTGGTAATGCCACAGAATTATCACCTAAAAATAGTTAAAATGGTAAACTTTTGTTATATATTCCATTACAATATTTAAAAAGAGAGAAAAATGCCAACATTGTGGTATGTACATGCAGTCCCAGCTACTCAGGAGGCTGAGGCAGGAGGATCACCTAAGCATAAGAGTTTGAGGGCTCAAGGTCACCTCAAGGTTGTCAGCTTGAGCAACACAGAAAAGAAAAAAACCCCATCTTACCAAAAAAAAAAAAAAAAACACTGAAAAATCTCCCTTGGGTCCCCTGAGTGGGCTGACACATATACAAAAAAAAAAAAAAAAATCCAGTGTCCCACCATCATATTAACATGTCCAGAACAAATTATCATTCCTCCTAAGTCAAATTCCAACCCCAATTTCCCCATTTCAATCAAAGGAATATCACAGAGTAAAACTGAAAATGTTTGTATACTGTCTGTTTCCTCTCATTTCTTTAACTCTTAGACCTGTTATTTCTAAGTTCTAGAAATCTACTCTTCACATTATTCATGCTTTCTTCTGCCGCTACTCTAGTATATTATCTTACCTATGGACAATAGGCTTTAATAACTTCTTTTTGCAGTGCTGAGGATGGAACTCAGGGCCTCACACACGCCAACCAAGCACTCTACCAGTGAGATACATCCTCAGCCCAGCTTCTGTAACTTCTCACATCTTAAACTGATATTGTACAAGTTTACTTATGGTACCTATTTAAACGTAAGTATATGTACTATTCATTAAAAATGGATTTACCTTCTGGGTATTTTCCCAGAAGATCTAAAAACATCATATCATAGCGATGTATGTGCACCTATGTTCATAGCAGCACAATTTGTAATTGCTAAATTGTGGAAGCAACCCAAATGTCCATCCACTGAAGATTGGATAAGAAAATTGTGGTACTTTTATATAATGGAATATTACTCAGCTATAAAGGAAAATAAACTCAAGGCCTTTACAGGTAAATGGTCACAACTAGACCATACTCATAAGTGAAATAAACCAGACCTGCATGTGCAAGCACCACATTGTCTCACTAGTGTAAAACCTGAAAGAGTTAATTTAAACCAGGAGGTATGATAGACATTGGGAAATGATAGGCAAACACTCAAGGGTAAAGGGCAACTAGGATGTGGGAAAAGAGAAGGGAAAGAAGGAGAAATTTTGTACATATGTATACACAGGATAGTTAACATAGTTGTTCTACTGTCTTCTGTTTCTTTGCTGAAAGAAACTGTCAATGAGTCCTTGATTGATCAATATTGTATGTCTCTGTTTTCATGAGCAACCACTTTGAAGGTATCAATATGTAATACAACAAGCATTGTTAATTTCCTACCACTTTGTAACTCTGCATTGTCTGTACTGTTCTTTTGCTATTTTGTAAAAGGTTGTCTGTCTCTTAATATTTTCTGCCTTTTATTTTTAAAATTTAAAAAAAAAACGGATTTAAACTATTACTGTAGAAATAACACTAAATCACTATTAAGGTCTAACTGTGATCAAAATAATGGCTTAATTTTTACAAAAATCCTCGTTATGTTGCTCATTTATTTTATACTACATCACATCAACCCTCCAGTGTGGTCGATGCACACTTCACACCTACCTTTTTATGGTATTCCATAGCATCCAATTCTCCTTGATTGAAAACAACACTTCTCTTACGCTTCTAAAGAACATAAATTACAGGAGAAAAGTTATACTGTCATCTATCACAATACTGACATTTTCAGATATACCAATACGTCTTTATTATTTTTCACATTTCCTATATGGTGTATCTTCATCTTTAAGGGGCAATAATTGGGCCAGGGATATAGCTCAACGACACAAGTGCTTGCCTGGCAAGCACAAGGTCCTGAGTTCAATTCCTGATACCCAAAAAACAAACAAAAAATTAAACAGTCTCCTTTAAGAGGTAATAATTTCCACTGAGGTCAAAATCAGTACAAAAATATGGACTATAGAGGTCATATCCCCAAAGTTAAAGGGGAGAAAAGGGTGAAATGTTATCTCAGCCTTTCTATTAAGAAGAACTAATTCACATGATAAAATATAGCTCCAACAACCAAGATAAAGATGGAAACTACAGGCTGGCACACGTGTGGCACACGCCTATAATCCCAGCGCTCAAGAGGCTGAGGCAGGAGGAACGCTGCAAGTTGGAGACCAGCCTGGGCTACAAAGTGAGCTCAAAGCCAGCCTGAACAGCATAGCAAGACCCTGTCTCAAAAAGACAAAAAAAAAAGGGAATTACAATTCTGCATGAAGTATCACACATCAGCTCATATATACAACACAGTTCTTCTCAACTTTCATTCCTGAAAAGAGGAACTATCCATGGGTTATCAAAGAAAACTCCACTGTACTTTTAATAGCATTTTATGACTAATCTGAGGATGGAGTACAAATGAGTATTAACAGGTTACCAAACTCCGAGCTGACTAAAATAAAATTCTGCTGGGTGAATACATAGATTAATTTAAGAGTACACTAAATATATAATTTGTTTTAGCATACAAGAAATAAGTCTTTTCAGCCAAGCGTGGTGGCACATGCCTGTAATCCCAGCACTTGGGAGGCTGAGGCAGGAGGATCATCGTTGAGTTCGAGACCAGCCTGAGCTACATAGTGAGCTCAAGGCCAGCCTGAACTGCATAGCGAGACCCTGCCTCAAAAAGATAAAAAAA